CCCCCCCCCCCCCCCCCATTGTGCATCAGTTAACACCTGTTTGAAGGACTATTTGCACACAGTTGTTGTGGATAGAGGATTTTTTTTGGGAGGGTTTAGTTTGCTTGAATTAATCAAATGTCTGTATATTAATATCTCTTTTGCAGTTCTTTTTCCTCTTGCTGAATTTTGCCTGTCAATTAAAATCTAATAAATAAGTCAATTATTGAATTTTGCTTGTCATTTATCTGATCTTCATAACTTTTAATCCTATTAATTGGATTAAATCTGTTTGACATTTACTGAATTATCGATTCATGTTTAATCTTTTATTACTTTGCTCCGTTCCTTTGTTGCTTATTGCTGGCTTTCTTATGCGACATTATTGCCAATCATTGTCCAAAATAAAGGCTTCACGTGGACTAATTCAGATTAATTTTCCAGTAATATGAAACCAGATGTGTGTGTCAGGTCTATAGAAGTCGTTTCTTTTTACTTTGTTGTTATAACACTGGAAATGGTTCAACTGTACAGTAGAACATTTTCCATAACTGTTTGGACTGGTCCCTAACAGCAGTTCACAAAATTAAGAAATAGGACAATTAGAATTACCCACACTCTTACTGAATGATATATTTATTATGTTATGAAACACTATCAAACCTAAACATTATATTTACCCTTATCACAGAAAGTCACACTGTACAGATGTTTCTTATAACACAGTTTAAAGAGTGAATAAATAAAGATGTCATTGTCATGCACTAAAACACAGAATATTCACTACACGCAAATGGATCAACACAGAACCACAAAGTTTAGAACGACACCTACAGCTAGCTAGCTACCTTCCACTCACAGCTGTCCACCCATGAATTCATAAAGACTAGTTCTACTTTATGGCTCAACTCCTGTTTCTCTCCAGTTCCTTACTCAGGAAAAGGAAGTGTGCTTTTTACTACCATGTATCTAATGTTATCTCTGTACATTTCTCTGCAGCCATCACTAAATTGTAAACTAGATTAAAGATGTGCAAAACCCTACTGCGTGTTCTTCGGGCAGATGAGAGCTCTACAGGGACGACCCTTCAGGACAAACTCATAGTTATTAAAGGAATGAAAAAAATCTGCTCAGTTGGATCTAAGTACAGATTCATATTAGATTATCCACAGTTACTTGGATAATGGTTTATCTATTTTCCCCAGGCTTAGAGAACAACACTGTCAGTGCTACATACTGTTCCATTGACACAAATGTTTCAGATGAAAATTCAGTGTGAAATGTATTGCATGGGACTCCCAGAAATACTTTTCCTTCTTAACACTACATCTGTCTAGAAGCCTTAAATCACTCAGAGCTACAATGGCTGAGTTTAAAGTAGAAACCAAAATAAAGAAAATGTGATGGTGAAATGAGAAAACGCTAACTGCACTGATGTTGAATTTTAAGTCATCCCATTGCTTGAACACCTAACTTCAGTGTAGCTACAGTATGTGTACAAGCAGAAGATCAGATGGGTTAAAGGCAACATGGGCAATCTTTATCTGTCCATTTTGGGTTCAAAGGTCTATCAGTCACAATATTGCTCTCACCAATCAAATACTGTTAGAGCTACAGGGTTTGTTAGTATAGTGGAAGGGTAAATAAGGTCGGGTAAAGAATTCAGCATGAGATTTGACTCAGATCTGATCGAATGGCTCCTATGGCTCCTCCTGTAGAAACCACACCTCGTTGCGGCGTCCGTAAGGCTTGAGCGGTGGGTCGTAGCTACAGCAGAAGTACTGCTTGCGCTGAAAGGGGGCCGTCTCGCCCAGAGTGCGTGTCAGACGCAAGGCCTCTGCTCTGTACTCACTCTCCCCTGCGAAGCCTCCAAACTGCCTGTGAACAAAATACAATTTAAATGAGGTGAATAACTGGGGTGTTATTTTAACTGGGTGAATTATGTGGACTTTTTTTGACAAGATTTGCTGTTTCAGGGACCCAAAAGGCACACATGCACACTGATATTTCAAACAATATGCACCAGTGAGGTCAAGTAAACCTGCCTTGGGACCCACTGTGCCGCAGAAGCCCTGCAGCGGACTAAACATATTAACTAAGACCTCCATGAATAAAATTGCTACGAGGACGTGCATTTGGGTCAGGTGGGGTAACTGAGCTGCATGTAGCTGCAATAATTCACATAATAATAACACAGTACACTCTTCAACACACAGCATCTCAAATCAACACTCCTAATACCCTCTTGCCCATGGGAGATCTCTTAAAATCTTGTTCCTTGTATAAACATTTAGAAATGAAACACCTACAGAGCGTAGACAGTCATGCCGGGCCGATCCTCAATCCTCATGGCACTGTCGGTGGGAGTCGGGGGGCTTTGCTGGTAGTTGGAGGGGATGCGGATGGCAACCATCAAACGGCGAGACAGAACACCGTCATTCCGCGGGTACACTGTGATGATGATGGGAGCTGCTGTGCCCATGGCCTCACCTAAGCAGATGAAATGTGAGACAGAAAGTGTGTTTTGAAAAATGCGGTGGGGGGGAATATAGAGGAGACAGCATAGAAAGTCTGGTTTCCTCCCTAAAGCAAATTACCCACATCTAAAGGTCAGGTTTATCCAGACTCTGCTAAACAAGCCATGTAAATCCCATCTCTATAAATAGCAAACAAATTAAATGAGGATTCTGCACAGAGGCCCAGTTTTCAGTCTGCACTCTTAGTTAGCTGAGGTTATATTGGTCTGATGACCTACAGTGTGGAACCATGGCCTGAAAGGACACTAGTCTTTAAACATTATTCAAACGTATCCTCCACTAAAGCTAAGCCAGTTAAGTGAGCCAGCTGAAACTGTAATAATATTTGGTTAATTTTATAGCTTAAAAATTAGACTCGTGTCGATCCCATCTTTAATGTTCATTAATTCAGCACAGCATTTAAGGGCACCCTAGGACTAGCCACTGGGTCACACACAAGAAATAAAAAGTAGTTAACTCCATGAACAAAATTAGAAAGCTAAGAGGAGATTGAGATATTTTTTTTATCCTTTTATAAATTTAATTGACTAGTCACTCAATAAAGAGCCATGATTAGTCATATATGTCCATGATTGGCAAGAAACCTTGTATTATAATACTTACTTTCAATTATTAGTCCAGTGTCTTTCTTCTGTGTGTGGCCTTCCTCAGATTATGAAAATCCTTCTATTGCATTACATAAAGTCTTTTCTTAATCATACTTTTCCTATGCGTGAGATTTTAAGAAAAAAATCTATGAAATGTATGAGCTTGGGGAGAGGAGCAGCACAGATAACAGAGGCAGTTCATGAGCCATACTGGGTCCTATAATGTTAGTGAACATATCTTAACACACTGATCCACCAGGAAGTAGGATTCTCTGATTGGCTTACCTTGTTCATTGCTCCCGCCGATGTACATGAGCAGCTTCCTCACCAGCTCGCCTGTCACTTGGTCGAAGGTTCGTCCCTCAGAGGAGACCACAGCGTACTTGGCACCGTCGTACCGTCGCACCTCAAAGCTAACTCCATCCTGAAAGGGAGAAAGGGAAATCGGGTGTGCCTTAGGTGTCAGCAGGCCAACCACAGCTACACATTGGTGCATGCACAAATTGCTTTTATGCACATACACACACACACACCAAAAACAGTTGTTCTCTTCCTGGGGATGGGTGCAGCAGAGATGTTGAGCTCAGATATGATTCACCTCTCACACACTGATGTTGACAATCTACTCCTAAGGATAAAAGCCTTAAAGTGGCGGGGTTTACACTTGGAGTAAAAGATCAGCGTGTGTGTTTGCGTTTGTGTGCGTGTGACTGCACACATGTGGGTGTGTGAATCCAATGTGGGCAGCCCAAATAATGAGATGCAGATGAAACATATTCACACTGATTTGATTTAATTTCTTTTTCTGCTCTGCAGTGTTCAGTCAGCCTTCAGAGAATAATGGGCAAGAGATGCACGGCCTTACATAACAGCACACAGGCAAACACACACACACACACACGCACACAACTCGCCCCCACCCCCAGACACACAGCGTTAATATGATGCAACAGTTTTGCATTAAATATGATTAAGTGGGGTTAATGTGGAGCACAGTCATTCGACTATGCTGCTGAGCAATAACTTTAATAGGTTTTGAAGGAATTTGGTCACTGTGGAGACTGTGATGCAGGTTTCAAATACAGCTGCTCATTCCACTAATGTGATTATACTGTGTGGTATTTTATAGTATATGCCTCTGTATGTTGCTAGGCAGTGGAATTTAATCTCATTATTACATTGTCTTTGGTTCTTCTCGCAATGTTTACCATCGATCTGTATAACAATGGTCAGGGCATAATTTCCACTGCATAATCTCGGTCTTATTTCGGCTTTTTGTGTTTTCTCTTCCCTGAAGGAAAACTGGAATCTAAAAATATCTTGCAAATGATTTCGTTTTCATCCTGTGTATGATTTTCTGACTCTTGGCCTATTTTCCAATCATATAGGGTACGCACATGTCACATCCAGTTGCTATGTTTGTGCTCCTAACAGCTTTCATCCACTTAATCGTATGCAAAATCCACCCCAGTGAAAAAAACCTGTAAAGTGGTCCTGTAACCAGATGAACAAACAAACAAGATAACACTATGTTATCATGGGGTGCTAACTTGTGACAGGTACCCGAGCTCCTGCATAGTAATTACAAGGGTTCTGCTCTGTGTGGCTTGTCAGTGGGACCACCATTAACACTGTATACGGATAACATACAAAGAAAAAAAGCCTGACTTTAGTTAAGCAGTGCAATTAATTTGTCTGCCGTGTGTCTGTGTTTGTGTGCATGTGTGTGTTTAGCTGCTGTCTTGTGCCGGCTTATACAGTGATAATTACTCTGTGCCTGAAGAGACCACACAAAAGGTGTTATCAACACTGTGCCTTGTCGTTCCATGTTCTGTTAAAATAATCGTCGACATTCATTTGCAAACTTCTAGCTGAGCTCAACCCATATGTTGCTGTTGCTCTGCTGTGAATGTGTGTGTATATGTGTGTATACCCTGTCTGCCTGTATTCTGTGTCAGTTTTAATTAAAAGTGTAAGGTGTCAGAGAGCTCCACAGATCAGGTGACAAGCTCTGATTTCAATACCTGCTGTTTAAAGAAGTCAGTCAAGTCCAGAGATTTGATGAAGCTCTGACTTTTTAAGGCTGTTTAATGAACAGGAAGCGTGCCACTGTAGTGACCTTGCATCACGCTGCATTTGGATCAGGAATATAAATGATCGATCACTAATTAAGATCCTTTTTGTCCACTTTTCTGCAGAAATGGAAACCTTTTCTTAAAGAGCACTGCTCAAATGTGAGTATATAGAACTGGAATCATTGAACGCAGTTATTCGTACACATGCTGCTGGCTTAAAACAGTATTTTTATTTCTTTATTTCAGCTTCAGACAATAGATGTTAGTATGCGGTGTCAGAACAGATCTGCCTTACTGTGCCTGTGTGTGGGTAAATGTGTCACTTTGGGTCATCTGAGTTCGTGCCTGTCTGGCCTGGAAGTCCTCATTGTCTATCAGTCTATCCGCCTTTGTGTCCCTGTCAAAAGTGAGCTGCTATTCAAAGATAAACACACAAAGCCACTTTCAGAACCCCATGCCAACTGTGACATTACATGGCTACATGCACATTTACAGTAGTGCACTGCAGGTCAACGGTCCATGAGAGAAGGACCTCGAAATGGCTGTTTGGCATTTGCTTCAATTAACAACACACATCACTGAGTTCACTGAAATCTCTCCAACGTGTGCACGTACATTATATACGGGCAAACACATTATATACACAAACACAACAGGGGGCGGGGTGGGGGTTGAGATGCTGACATGGAAAGGGCATGACCTTCCTCCTCACACGTCACCGTGCTCATCAGAGATGTTCCCGTGTATCAGTGTGCACACCCAATCCATATCTGAGCTCATGGGTTAACCACAAACACGTCTGATCTGCATCCTCTTCCAGGGCAGGGTCACTTAGCTCGTCCCCTGTGGTTTCACGTGCACGTGTGCACGCGCGCAGTGTCTCTTTCTCACACACATGCATCTACAATGTCGGGATGGAAAAAACAGTGAACCCGCAGCTTTGCGCGCAACAATGAAACCATTCTGACTCTGGTCTACTGTGTGTGTATGTGTGCAATTTACACAGAGCTCAGCATCAGCATCTTTATTCATGTCTGCCTCGTTGATTGGCAGAGGACCTCTGGCTGGTTTGCCCCAATGCCCCACACTGCGGCTCAGCGGGCATCCTTATAGGTCACAAGCAATTAACTGCCAGGCTGTTAGTCAAGGTTACAGGGGTTGTTACAACATCTGGAAAAACACCGCAATGGCCATTTAAAGAGAAAATTGCCACAGCATAACCTAGTTAATGTTAAGTGCTGGATAAAATATTTATGCAAACAGAAGGGGGGAACCGTGCACCTTTACAGTACAGCAGGAATACTGTGCGTAATCATTGCTGCGTAAAGATACGGAGAGAGGCGCATAAAAAGACAGAATTAGCAGACGCTTTAAAGACATCAGAGTGATGAAGTTGTGTGTGACAGGTGTCCGCGCACTGCTTACCTTCGTCTCACTGCTCAGCAATTTATATTCCGTCTCCTCGGTGTTCCCGAAGAGCGAATTCTTGATCATGCCAAACATGTCGCTTCGGCCAGGTCACCTCTCCTCTCTCTGCTCCTTTGGTTCGCTGTTTGTCCTCCTCCCTTTCGCCCTAGTGCTTTGTTTGTTTGCTTTTTTATTTGCAGAACAACTTCGTTTATTCGGCTGACAGCTCCCTTATCATGTGGTCGTCCAACTCCTGGAAAAAACCTTGATAAACAAGAGGTAACTTCGTGCTGTATCCAGATGCTCCAAAGCGCAGATTTCTCCTCCAGAGAAGAGCGCGCACCGTGTTCCACAGAGCACTGACCTCTCTCCTCAACAGATGCTTTTTTTTCCCCTCTCGGAGGCAGAAGTTGCAGATGCTGACTCCTCGCCCCTTCGCCGAACCAAGGAATGAACAAAATCAGCCTCCACTCTGACGGGTGGAGTGTCTCCGCCCTCCTCCTTCACTCCTAGTTTTTTTCCTCTCACCAGCTTGACGCTCACTTATATGACCACCTTTCACTCATAATGGTTTAGGCTCACTTAAAGTGGGGACATCAAGATTACAGCATGGGGCTAATCTCCCATGGTTTATTACCCCCAGATGAGATGAAGTTGCGCTGACATTAAAAATGCATTGACTTAACTAATTCTCTGGCATGAGATGCAGCATGATAGTCTACAGGGAGGCAGTTCCCCCCCAAAAAACCTTCAGTGCCACTCAGCTTTTGTTAGGGTTTCTCTCTCATTCTGTTTGACATGGCTGTCTGGTCCAGGGTGCATTAAACAGTGGGGCGTGGAGAAGCACATTTTAATCCTGCTCTTTGTGCAATATAAAATTTGACACAAGCCGTTGGTTTGTCTGTATACATCACTGGACTTTCTTTTCCACGGTCGAGTGTGTGTGTGTGTTAGTTTGGTGCAGTACACGGGTGCACGTCTTACTCCCCGTGTCATTGTGAGTTGTTTGCTTAAGGGTTAGTCTATTTAAATTCACACTGAAGGCAATGTTAGTCACCACCACTAGAGAGTAAAAGGAAGCAGTAAGGGTAGATTTAATGAAAAAATAGTGGGATGGATAACACTGGGCCAGAAAAGCCGAGGTGCTGTATGAGCAGGCTGTGGATGGAGAGACAGGTAAACAGAGATAAGAATCCATCCAAGCTGGCACTGAAGCATCCTGTACATATACTGTGCACTATAATGTAATTCAACGTCTAATTGAATTTATTTTAAAGTGTATTTCATTTTATTAGTTCTTTGTTGAGTCAGAGCTTGTGATTCAAATTTTGAGAATGCAGCTTATTGTGTTGTTAAGCAATTATTTCAGTCTCTCAGGCTCTGTTGAGAAGAGTTTCCTTGCTAACCAGTGTTGCTCCTGGCTGAATGTGTTTGGCATGTACTGTGATGGTCTTTATGGCTTTTCCTCTTGTCCCATTACACAATGTTGCAGAGTCTGTCACGGATGCACAACAACATTCTGGGCTCTTTGTACCTCTGTGGGAAGCCTCAAGTTGTCTTCAAAAACCTCGCTCTAAAAATAGCTGGCCATAACCTGCTGATAATTGCTGTTCAACGGAAGAGAAGAGTTGTTTTGTAGCTGGGGTTAAATGGCGTGAACAAAGAAGCAAACCAAACATGAAAAAGGATAGAACTTTTAATGAGCTAAGCCAGTTGTAAAGACAGCTGCACAAGTCAAACTAGACTCTCGAATGTCTCAAACATATTCTGCACAAGTATAACTTTGCATCAGGAACAAAGACATGTGACAAAATGTAGATGGGATATTTGCTCAAATACAGTTTTAACAATATCTGCGCAGTTCAATCAAAGTCTCGGCAAAGGTTGTCCACTGTGAACCACCCCAATCGCACTAATGGAAAAGAATGAGAGTAGAACGGGGTAGGCAACCTGCATCTCTATAGCCCCTCTCCAGTGGCCCCCTGTGGCATTCTAAAAAACATGGAATTGTTGTAGGCCTAAAGTGATTCTTACATTCTCCATTGTAAAAATGTGTAACATTTTGTCAACTAAAATGAACGTCATAAGTCCCAACCTGATGCCTTTTCCTTTTCCTGAACCTCAAGTGGTTGCTACAAGCATACAAGTCTTAAGTCTTAGAAAATAGAGAATTTAATAGTGTGTGGACAGATTTATTTGCTTTCACAACCAATGCTGCTAGCTTACTGGTATGCTTCATCTGTGGTGAGAAGTTAGCATTATAAGGGGTCAAATATGTTTTGCAGCTCGAGACAAATGTTTATTTTTTTATGTTTGGCCAAAAAAAGGCTCTTATGATAGTAAAGGTTGCTAACCCCTGGAGTTGACCAACTGTAAAGAATCCCACAAACACCTGCACACATTTCTGTGAGAATAAATACATGAATTCACAAAGCCTACGTGACTCCATAATTTCACATACAACAAACATTTGTTAAATATTCTCAGGTATTCCTGTTGCTCCACGTTTGCCTGGCTCCTTATGTGCGTGGACATACAGTAATAGATGCATTCAATTACCAGTTTAAGTGATATGCAAGCAGGATGTTTGTGTTGTAATGTGTAACCTTTGTCAGTGTCCTTAAAAAGAAATCTCACAAAGTGTAACAGTGACTAATAGTTTAATGGGACAAATGAATCAAAATGAAAATGTGCTTACAGTCCTTTTCAATGGTTGCTTTTGCCTTTTAAGTTAGGGGAAATTGCCACAAAACAAACAAAAGCAGGTGCAGATAAGCTGTAGATGGCAGTATATTTACAGCTGAACAACAGATTTTTGATCAAAGCATATATTTTCAGTTGATCAGATTATCACCCCATTGAACACTGGTACAACAACACGACAGGAATAAGTCAAGTTCCTTCAGTCCATGATGGCACAATCTCCATTCTGCCTCCAGTCAAATATTTATCCCTTTGGAGTTTACATGAGGGGAATTACATGAGACCAGATGAAACAGCCGCAGACAAGTCCTTTCTGAAGAGTGTCAAGATTTTCTTCCGATTTCACACCCTCCCATGTCCTCACTTCTCCCAGCCTTTACCTCCTGGCTGAGTGGGCAACCTGAGCCCCACTAGGCCGGCCGCTTCTTCCTGGCTGCGCTCTCCCTTGCCGCGGTAAAGGTTGTGCAGGAGCATGTGGTTCCTGGTAGACGTCAGCAAGCACAGATATGTGTGTGAGTCATGGTGTGCCTCCTGCTGGGCACGGCAGTACCTTTCTCCTGTTACCTGTGAGAGGGGGAAAACAAAAGATTGGTGAAGACGAAATGATGAACCAGATCGTAACATACGTACAGTACAGTCAGTTCCTTTCAACCGTACTGTATTTTTGTTTTGGTTTGTTCACTATAGAGAAAAATGAAATCAAGTTAACATTCATGAAGAAATGCCTTAAGGTCTAGCTGGTGGAGTTCGCAAGCCCAGTAAGAGACGAAAACATGAACAGACGTGTCAATATCACAAGCTTTTTCTGCCAGAATGTTCTTCGTCAACGTAACAGCTACACGGGCAGTGGGCACTGGTCCAGCCCCTATAGACTTTCATATATACATTATAATGCCTTTGGGTCTTTTCAGAGCTGGGACAAAATACACACTGACAAGCAAGATTTGCTCCTAGCTATTTTGCCTCATTGACCGCACATGCATTAAAGCACCGTGGTGAGCCATGTCCTCCCAAGCATTAAGAATACAAGCTTTAAGCCTATATGCTTATTAACCCCTCAGTGGAACAAGCAGCTCTCCTGTGTTTTGGGTAAACAGAGACACAATCACTTAGATGGACATGATGGTTAGAAACAGACAGCACCGAGTAGTGTACATAACAGTTCAAATAAATATAGGCTATGTTGACTTGAGGGCTGCCTCCTGACTGAAAAAACATATTTGTTGACAAACACTCAAGAGATTTTTAATGTGCCAAATTGAAAAGCTGATTATATATATAAAAAAAAAATCAACAACAAAATTTTTCTGTAGTTTTTCTTCCTGCGAAAATGATTGTGGACAAAACAGCTTATTACAGGAACAATTATTTTATTAACTGATTAGTTTAAACAGTATCTATTTAACCGCGCGGATGAGTACAAACTCCAGTGAATGGAGCTGTTAATTAGTTCAGTCTGGGTTCACACGAACGCTTTAGGGATTTTAACACATATTTGTACTATATATACACATACACATACACACACATACATACA